TATTATTATTATTATTAATTATTGTTAATATTACGAACTGCACGTGTGATGCCGAACTCCACAATAATTTCTTATATTCTGCCCTGGGCGTCCAATCAGGTCTCGTTGGAACCTTTCAATACTTTTGGTCTTTGTGTTGGGCCTCCCGTTTGAAAGTTTCTCACTGGGGACTGCGTTGAACTCCAATAAAAATGACGCCTTACACATTCATAAGTCGATTACCTCATCAGCAGTTACTTTTCCAGTTCATTCGCATGTTTCGTCCACTGCGCTCTGATTGCATTCTCATTCTTTCATCTCTATTTAGGCTTCGTTTGTTTCCTTATTTTGAGCATCACATTCTTGCTTCGACCGGGCATCCATTTGAACTGGCAAGAGAAGCTTGTCGTGCAGATCTTCTTCCTGAGTGCCATTCTTGCTCTTGGGTTTTCGTGGCTCTTTCACACTGTCTACTGCCATTCCGAACGTGTTGGACGGCTGTTTAACAAGTAAGTGGGGAATGTCAGCTGATCGTTCCCGTCTTTGCGACATTGTATTATCTGGTCACAAGCACCGCCTAAAGTGAAAGCTTTTCTTTCTAGGAGAAAATTTAACATTTTCATGGGGGGATCGACCAGAACTTTCCTCGTCTAAGAATAAATTTACTAAGGGCGACCATAGATGTTCTCCGGATGTGGTCTGCTAGTTGAGCTTCTCCAAAGGAGGTAACCTTATCTTATTCCACTGGTATTGCTTGTTCACTTCAACATCACTTTACATTTGGTCTCGGTGGGGTTTGTTATCTGGACAGCCTATTCATCGCGCATGTAAATCATTGACAGCTTTTCAGAAGACTACCTGATATCATGCTTATGTCCTACCCGGTAGTGAATCAGACATCAACATTGGGCATATTTTGTTGTGTTCGGGCCTCATCTGCTTAGCTACTGGGTTATCGGCAATGCCGTATACATTTCCGCTGATAAATATTAGCCTTGGTCTTCAAGTTTCCATCTCAGCCAGAGAAAACAAATTTAGACCAATCCTTCAGCTGAATTGTTTCTTTCTATCCTGGTCTAAATAGCGCATTTGAACAATGATGCTGTCGGACAGATTTCCGTTGGCATTTTCATCTTTCAAGTCTGTTCAAGAATATCGTTAACGCACCTCCGAAGTGGGATTCGAGCGTTCAAACTCATCATGGGAATGGGTGTACAATCGCATAATTGGTAAAAAAAATAGCAGGGGTTTATCGCATAGAATTAGGGTTATCTAGGATATGGTAGAATTCAGATAAATGCTAGTCCTCTCGAGTGAAAGCTCAAACTGGGAACGCGTAAACAAAGTGGAAATGGATACAATTGGTTTTTGTTTACACTTGTGTAGAAACCACTTAGGAATCTGACTGCTGATAGATAGCGAAAATTGTCACCAACCTACTACGATGGTCGATGAAGCGTGATGATCATGAAACCATGGACTTGTAGCTGTTACCTGTGGTAATCGTGTAGCAGTTGTTGTTCTTGGTAAGCTATCCACTAGAGAGTTCCTCCTGATTGGGATTCATCAAGTGGATGCAGTGATATTCTATTTCCTCATGTTCGGCTCCACTCCTTCTTAATACCAACACGAAACGACAGCTGACCTGACCTGTGCGCGCGACTTATGTCGATTCAAGTTGACTGTTCGGGTGAGTGTGCATGTTGAAACCGGAAATCGGGCGATTGAATCCTGCTCCATCCACCTAATGGGCCCCTATCATAGTGTAGTGGCTGGCATCGTGCGGAAAATCAGGAATTTCGACGCGGATTTCGTCCTCTAAGTGAAGCCAGTCTATACCGATAGCTGGTGCATCCTTATTGAGAATCAGCAGTACGCATCTCACGTAACTCCGTGGAGTCTGGAACCCGGGACTTCTTGGCTGGTCATCGGAACACTTATCCGTTCGGCCACGAGAGGCCGATCAGCACCCAGACAGGATATAGCACCGCTCATCCTTTACTCGCAGAAATCACGTCACCTCTGGCTAACTTATAGAACAACGGTAGTGTAAGAGCTTATCCAATGCTGGTCATTGGTTCGTCGTCGAACAGTCAAGTGTCCTACTGATGGCCGAGGCTGGAAATTCTCTGCGTTTTTTATATGTGTATTCCTGGATGAAAAAGCTGTATAGGCCGCTCATCTTTAATCACGGGGTCCACATCACGTGACCACATGTGTTTGTTGGCTCCTGGAGCAACGATTTTTAATGTAATGGGTTGCTTTTCCAGGACTAACCAGTTCTTTTATGTATTATGGAAATAGCCTGAGATGAAACAAACAGCTTTGGTCATCCAGTAGGACTTTCCAGGTGAGCTGCTTGTTGACTGCAATACTGACTTGAAACAATTGGACTTCCTACTGCACTTCCAGATGTGTTGCAATGACTCACCTTCAAAACAGTAAAGTCGAAATTTGTAGATAAATGAAATAGAATAAGTAAAATAATCGTTCAGCTGCCTAGCTCCTTTGCCACGAGGGCTCGGATACTGGCAGGTTGTCCAAGCGTAGACAGGGAAAGTCGAGAGGCAGAAGTCGGGTTCGAACCACGGACCTTCCGGTCAGTAAATTTGCGCTCTACCCACAGCTATCTCGCTGAATTAGCAGACAGCATGGCAGGGCAACAACTCATTCACTCTAATGAACGGACGGATAACGCTTTTAGTTTGTAGCGTAGAAAAGCCATCGAGAACGTGGAGACCAACATATTATATCATATATGATACACAAACGTTCTCAGCTATTCGGGATGGCAAGCCGAGAATCTGATTGCGCTTATCTGAGATGAGAAAAAACAGCTTGTATGCTTCTTGAAACAGGAAAAGTATTCCGTTCTCTTGCGCTTCTCAACTGCGATATTCACACCTGGTGATTGCATTCTCACGTCGGTAAAAAGAATGAGACAAATAGGTAATGTAACTGAGCGCCAATCACGGGAAGCCTGTTTGGGTTGGTAGTGATAATGATGCTGGGTGCCAGACTCATGAATTCATCATCCACAAGCTCAAACACACTGCTCCACCAGCGATAAGCTATGGTAACGGACTTCTGTATGCACTGCTAAGGGCATTTGTGTAATCCAGGAAGGATAAGAATACTTTTTTAACCTTTCCATCGAGTGTGAAAGGTACGCAACGGCGTCCGGTCGAGAGTACGGTTGTTGATATGCCAACTGGTATACATGCGGCATCTGTTATTATGCTCGGCATTGTCGCACCTTCAAACAGCTTTGAATATACATGTCTGCAGGTAATCGGTCGACATCTTAAGGTTTCTGCTTCACGCACCTGGGTCAGCTTGATTGTCCTGTAGCCATCAAATAGTTTTTCGCTGTCGCAACACTAATTAATCATAACTATAAGGGATCCGTTCAGTATAAGCAGTGGAAGTGACGCAAGGTCGGCAAACGAATTTTGCTTTGTTTCGATTCGCTGTCCTCCAATACAATCGTATTTGGTTTAAGATTTCAGTAGAACTGCTCCGCTTATGTATGTTACATGGACATTTAAAGGTGTTGACGAATCTGCCGGAATTTTTTAGATCAGTGTTTTCTCGTGCAGCAAGCACATAACTGCTTTCCACGTATGACATTTCCCGTACCCAAACAATGTATCGACATAGATCCTATTCAGCTTATGGATTTCCGCCTTTATCTGAGTCTTTTTCTGTCGGACTTGGATTTCATCTCCTTTCGCCAGAACCACTTCAGCAAGGTTGATGATTCATCGGGTTTGGTATTGCTATCTGTATAACGGCGACGGAGTCCGAAACAGAAGTTGGAAACGGTGCTAAAATTTTCAAGATCTAATGAGGGTCCCTTGTAGGAAATTTGTGGGCGTCTACTTATGAATTGTCTAGGATACTGGCTGACCCTTTTGCACTGGGCAGCCGATCTTCAAGCTCAAGGCTTCAGGAACTGCAGCAGTTAATCAGCCTTCGTGTCAGATGCTGTGAAGCAGATAGTCTACCCGACCACCTAAAATGCCCTAGTATAAGTCTATCAAACAATCAGTTAACTAGACCAAAATTTTGGTATCGCGGTGCAGAATAATGACAGGTGTGGTGCCTACGGGAGTGCGTGTTTAGCTGCGCTCGCTCTGCATCATCTAGCTGCTAGTCCGGGACACTGACACCAGCCTCTTCTCTGTTTTAGGTTGGACTATGTTGGTATAGCAGTCTTGGTGTTTGGCTCATCCATTCCTTGGCTCCACTACTCGTTCTACTGCCACGTTCCCTTCAAAGTGATTTACATGAGTGCCGTATTCATCCTCGGTTCTGTTTGTGTCGTGGTTTGTACACAAGACTACTTCCTTGCTCCGGCCTATCGAGGTGCTAGGGCAGGTGAGTTTTCTCATTATTTTTGGTACCAGAATTAAGGACCCCCCCCCTCATAAGGACCGTTTTTCCATCACCATCACTTTTTAGTTATTTTGGCTTACTACGTGTGTACTAACCATTTCCCCATGTTTATGTAGCTCCAGGGCCCTTGTTGCTTGTGAATCGTATAGGATTAGAGGGTGGTAATCAAACCGTTTTACCATCCCCATCGACTGCATATCAGTGTTCCCGTGTGGAATGATCAGTTTTAGTTCGAATTATACGTTTTCTTGTTTACATGGTGCACAGTGACCTGTCTTCCAACGTCGTTATCGGCCGTGGCAGTCAGGTGGTTCATATCCCACCTAAAGCGAATTCGCGTCCAAATACCCGTCTATAGCACCATTGTCCAACACTGCGACTTCCGCACACGCATCGGATTTAGGTCAAAAGTTAGGGAGTTTGATAGTGTTTAGTGTTTGGGTAAGGTTACAAGTAAGTGAAGTCGCGCAGCCATAGCGTCAAGCAGTCGGATTACTGTAGGCCGAAGCCTTAGCCTTAACCGAGAAGCGTCATAGAAAACTATGTTTACTGTAGTACGACTTTTACAGATAGTTCAAGCAGTTGTTATCCTCCCCTTTGTGACCCTGGATAGCCAGCAGGATCTATGTGTATCATGGTTATCTGTGTACGAGTTTCAATAATAGCAGACTAGTCGAAATCAAGCCGAGATCAACTGTCGTTCGCTAGCTACGGTTGTATGATCTACCCTAATCTTCGCATTACATTGCATTTGGACATGGTCCCCATGAGGACCTTCAGAAGGAAGAATGACCTAGGGGTAAAATAGAGGCACTTGCTTATCCTGCTTTCGTTTTGCAACATGAGGCTTATGCAAATGATTTCTTCGCGATGCGGTACGCATGGGTCCAATGAATAAGAATAGCAGTCATCTGACAGTCTGAAAAACCAGTTTTCTGTCAAAGCGTGTTCAGTGATCCTATGGTTATTGCGTTCCGTCAAGTTTTCTGTGTCATTAAAAAGCAAGGTGAAGGTCACTGAGGCAAGTGAACCTAAAGAATCAGTTGGAATTGTGTGAACTCGTTTGAAAATCAATGAAACACCGTCAGGGTGAAATGGTTTACCAAAACCTGAAGGAACGATGGTTCAGATAAGGAAATACCGCTCTGTTGTTGTAAAAGTCGCTCGCCTCACTTTTCACTCGATTTCTACTGTACTAGTTCAAATGCGTTCGCGTACGATGATTACATTCGGCGGTGGAACTAAGGTATTGCCACCATAAATTGACAAAATACCCCTCAGAAAAGCGCTTTTCGTAAAGGAGCTATGTTTATTCGTACGGTGTTTGGCGAGAGAAGAATGTAATTGTGATAAATGCATAAAAACCGTACTATATTCGATTTATTGTAGCAGAATAGCTAAGTGGACCATTATTGTTGACATGAACACAAAAATACCGGCACTCGAATGCTGGGTTCGTGAGGAAATTTGTTCCCTTACATGAACCATCTAGTTAATGTGCATTCCCGGAGGATGGTTTCTATATAGAACGTGATTGGATTAACAATTAAGACAGAAAACTCCTCACTACGTTGTTTGGCTTCCTCATTGTGACGCAGCAACAGCCAGTTAGTCTCTCCACAGCTTGCTGATGGACTTTGCCCCATTTGCATATGAAGAAGCAATTTATTGCCAATTGAAATTTAGTCTTGCAAGTGAATCCAGTCCGTACTGAAAAATGGGGCATCATCGGCACTGCGTATCTCACAAAACTCAAGCGAGTTGGGAACTTGCCACCTTGAGCACCTAGCCGTCCGGCCACGAGCGGCTAATCAGCAGTGATTAGTTCGCACTTAGACAGGATTGTTTCAATCGTTATCGTCAGTCCAACAAAGCGGAATTCGATTCAGCTTCACTAGTAATACAGCTGATCATATCATATCATATCTTTATATAGCTCACACATCCGTAAACTTGAAGCAGTTCGGTTCTGTGTACTTGTGTATTGAATATACTTACGGTATATAGGGACGTGAAAGTTGATCAGTCCTCTATGGAACGAAGTTGACTTGAAGGGATAGCAATATTCAGCCGTTTAATGGTTCATGTTCACCCCACTTCCGCTTGAATATTCCTCCTCCTTTCCTGATGAGTCCGAACCGAAGGACGGAAGCACTGGACTCATGTTTCACTCTTAGTGTTGCTCATCAACAATGTGTATCCGTGGCCACACCGGGTTGGAATTCCGTGGTGAGTGCTTGCTGGATGCATCTGAATTCTCCCGTCTGAACAGGTGAACGTGTCCACGCAACTATCCATAACTAATCTTTCATGATTATAAAACAATGCTTGTTCAAGTGTTTTAACTAAATAAAACGCAAAACGAATGTATTTTGAGAACCTCAGTCCATATGCCGTGTATATTCGTGATACTCCGTTCAACGCTTTTTCAAGCACGTTCATAAACTCTTTGGTTGTGTATCCCCATGCATTTTTTCGTCAATTTCCATTGCAATCCGCTCCGTTGTTTTGACATTGTGCTAGATTCGACAAACGGATATGGAGCTCACAGTTACAGTGTACACTTCGGTTCACATATAGTCGTTCTCATGTAGAAGTCAGCAGTTTGTTCACCTTCAAGAGACGCTGACTGGTGCTTCTTACCATAACTAAAGGAACCTCATACCTCAGTTCAGGCACCTTGGAATAGTTGTCGACTACAACTAAAAAAAAAAGCGTTCAGCCGTAGCACCCTTCCGGTGCCTAGCTGCCATGCCACCCGAAGGAAGCACGAGGGCTGGGATACTGCCAGGTTGCCCAAGCCTAGACAGGGCGACTACATCTAACTAAACCTTTCCTTGGGTCACTCCAATAAACATCCTTGTCGGTTGTAGTAACATTGGACCGCTGATTACGAAAGCTCCTTGCATCCAATTGTGTCCTCTACGTGGTCCTGCATCCAAAGTTTAACAATGTAGAGTCAGGTGATTTGTTTCTTTTGTCTTTTGATTGACAAGTAATTTACAATAGCTTGTTATTCTGTGGCCTGTTGTCTCCGACCTGTTAACACCCTCTTGTCTTCTGATCTCATTCACGCTGATTCGAGCATTTATTCAACTGAAGAAATTTGTGAATACCTGAAATTGAGTTCCGAACCCGCGTTGGTTCCCTTCAAACGCTTGAAGACATATTGATACCCACAAAATCTAGTAATTAAAATATTACAACAAGCGTATTAGGAAAGGTTGTCTAGGAAAGGTTTTCAGGAAGCGGTTTTTCGGACAAATTTGTCCTAGCAGTATGGATGCCTTTACAGATGCTGCTTCATCATTTCATGGGTAAAATTTATGCATAGTGGTGGTCCACCACGTAGCATCGTGTAATACCAAAATGAAACCTAACTTCGTCTGTTTTGGCTGTCCTCTACGTACCATTGGACCGGTTTCACAGAGTATTACAGGCATCCATACACAGCAACCGATAGCTAGGCAATCCACTGTTCAGTTGAGGGGTTCGGGAAGCTACCAGATATATTTGCACAACTAGGTTTTCAGCCACATCAGTGACAGTGGATTCTTGGACACGATTCCGGAGTGGGGACTGCTCTGATCACGTCTGGATGTGGGTGACGAAAACCCGACCATCAGAGGTGGCATCATTGGGTACGCTGCTCAACTTTAGAAATGGTAGGATATAGTTTAAAGACTTTGTCTCTTGCTGATTGCTCTCGAGGTTGTTCAAGTAACTATCTCGTAATCACCATTCCTCGGAGACCTCGTATGAATATTGCACGCGTGCGTAGGCCAGCTTTAGAAAATTCTAGTGAAGATGGGTCGGATGTTAACTTCTGAACTGGAATTTTGGTCCTGCACCGTAGTACACTTCTTTCCTTTGGAATTTAACAATCCGGTGCTGAAAAGCAATGATATTTTATCCTGGCGTTTGATCAGATGATTATTGATCAGTTCGCCGAGCTTGGCAGTTTGCCTGCAAACGTTTCATCTCCACTCGAGGTGACATTGTCAATGCTCAGTTGATTGCGTACTTCCTCCCTGTCTGCGTTTATATGGTTTTCGAATATGTAATATCCTCCCATGTGACTGGCTAACTGGTTTATACCCTCCTTATAATCTCGTTGGCCTGTTCGAGATTTGTCAGTTCGCCAGCTTGGCAGTTTGCCTGCAAACGTTTCATCTCCACTCGAGGTGACATTGTCAGTGCTCAGTTGATTGCGTACTTCCTCCCTGTCTGCGTTTATATGGTTTTCGAATATGTAATATCCTCCCATGTGACTGGCTAACTGGTTTATACCCTCCTTATAATCTCGTTGGCCTGTTCGAGATTTGTTGTAACCCGCATGTCTCGTATTCCATCGATCTGTTGACCAGTCCCTTTGGGATTTTTAAGGTGTGCTCTCCAGTTGGTCGTTCTTGGTTCGCACTGCCTTGTGGTCTTTGTTCCTCGAGTTTGGTTGTCCGCTCTGGCAATTTTCATTTTCGGTACTTTCTTTTCTTCGGTCTGATTGATCCTTTTTTATTTCATATCCTAGTCTCATTTTCCTGGATTTCATTGGCCTGTTACACTTCCCCGTTTGATGTAGTTTATTCTTTCTTGTGTTGGACAATTTGGTTACGTTCTAGTGCTTAGCTTACTGCTTCCCTTTGAGTTGTTCTCCATCCTTTTTCGATTTATTGGTCCGATACTAGTCCACGGAAGTAGATGAACCCCTCAGATTTTGTCGGTTTGCCTGCTTCTTTTATACACGCCCCTTGCTTTCTGTGGCTCTTTCGCTCACTGTGTTCGATAGACTGATTTGATTTCAGTTTGTTTTGCGGATGGCTTTCGGTGGAGTTTGACGTTTCCGTGAATTCGCGTCTTTTCTTAATTTTTCCTTTTGCCTATTCATCAACGTTTTTCCATGCAAATTTGTGTTCATCTTGATTTCCGTACACGGGGACGAGTTCATTGTGAATTTAGTTGACCGCAACTGTTCGTATACGACCGAATTTAACTGTCTCTACCTCATGGACGTAGCGAATGTTCTTCCTTATCCCCGAACTGTAGTTCTTTGTCTGTCACTCGGTGGAATATCCTTAAGCTTGTGCAATGCAGAGGTCGGGACAATGCAACTATCACCGAAGGTTACTGAGAACACTAGGTAGTTGAGAACTGGGATTTTAAAGCCACAGGGATAGGAACATGTAGAAAGAGTTTGGTTGTTGTGACTGCCGTAAGCCAGTGACTGAGCAAAAATACTACGTATCATTCAAACAACAAGATTGTATTCATGGGAGGTCCTCTAACTGCCTTTTTGGTTTGCGCATCCATAATGCGCAAATCGTGTTAGGTTCTTTAGCGTCAGCTCTAGTATTTGCTTCAAATTATTGGGATCATAATCTAAGATTTAGCTGTCGTTGACGTATTTTTTGCCCGTTCTAGCTGTTTTCATAGGTCTCGGGTTGTCAGCCGTGGTCCCCTGCACCCACTATCTGTTGATGGAAGGTTTCTGGGAAGCTGTGAGCTATTCTGCTTTCGGCTGGCTCGTTCTCATGGCTGTACTTTATATCTCCGGAGCGGTGATTTATGCAGCTCGTATTCCAGAGAGGCTATACCCTGGGAAATTTGATATATGGGCAAGTTTTTGTATTTCATTTCTTTCATGTGCTTATGTTACCGAGAATGCTAACTTTTTAGGCATGCGTTCTATTATGGCAGATTCCTAAAGCTGCTTTCTTGACGAAACAGCACTCATAATTTGGCTTAAAACACTCCGACAGTCCACAACCGTCTTCGCCCTCCTTAGGACTCATCAGGCTGGTGCAGTTCTTGAGTTCCCGTCAACCTTATCTATTTTACGTGAACTTACTTGATCCTGAAGCTTGTCCGTTCGTATCCAAATGAACGCACCATGAATTTTTCTCAACCATGATCAGTTAGTACGAGGCCAGTCAAACGGTTTTGCCTGTGGAATGCACTGCATAAGCTCCCGTACATACAGTCGAGCCAAACAAGGCTATCCGCTGATCATATATACAGGAAACTATTCAGTAGCCTTCAACTGTGTTTGTCCCTAAATAACAATATGGTGCAACTCGTGTTCACCTTCTGCAATATTCACCAGGAAGCACCACTGTTATCCGATAGCAAACTTTTAGCCTAATTGATGAAATGAGTAACTTCATTCACGTTATTTTTTGTTAACTTCCCGTCTTTTCGAAGCGAATTAGTCAGAATCTTCATTCATAGTTAAATTTATCTCAGTACAGCGGATGTCGTGAACTAATCTGGTAACCGCTATTCTAATGTCCACATCCGTCATTGGGTTGAATAGTTCCAGTACTGGCTTCTACGATATAAGCTTCACTCAATTCTCCAGAAGCAGCATGCCGTAAATTTGGGCCGTAGAAAACGTTCGGCTGTAGCACCCTTCCGATGCCTAACTGCCATGCCACCCGAAGGGCACTAGGGCTGGGATACTGCCAGACAGGGGAAGTCGAGAGGCGGAGGTCGGGTTCGAACCACGGACCTTCCGGTCAGTAAATTCGCGCTCTAACCACTTGGACCATCTCGCCTCCAAAATCTGGGCCGTATAATGAACTTACCCTCCATCAAGAATATGCCTAGAATCTCTCACTTGTATCCTCTCTCTACCGAACTTTGATTTAGTCGATAACTGGCAAATGAGTGGCACAGTAGTAACATTTGAAAGCAAACATTCCAGTTCCGTATTGTTCATTGCGTTAAGAGTTTACGGATAGCTTACTTCAATAGTAACGAGTGTTTTTGTCGTTTTGGTTTTAAGGCCATAGTTCAAATAAGTCAAACAAATATCGAGCAGCTTGAAATCCGTCTAAGCGTGTACCTTATAACGTCCAGATTCGCATTATGGACCCTCACATGTTGCTTGTATTCTCAGTTCTGATTGTACCGTGGCACACGGATTCAGTTCACGACTTTTTATGACTTCGATCGCGTCTACCAGTTCGAGACATGTGTGACGTTACTTCGAATCTCAAAGCCTTAGACTGTCACAGTACAGGTTCCTTTGCTAAATGTTTATGAGACAAGAACTCTGCGGACAGCCGAGGTAGACCGTCTTTCAAGTCCTTGATAACCGTTGTGCTATGACTGTTAGCTATGTGGGCTGTTACCACTGAATCCGCCCAGGGACAATTAGAAAACGATTGTTCGGTTAAATTGAATAATGTACCTAGCACCATAAGCTGTGGTAGGTTGGTTAGATATTGTTTGCCGATTTATTGTCTGCTGAAGAGAGCTTGTTGCTGTACCTGGTTTAGAGTGATGTGAGAGAAGAAGGGTTACCAACCCCTAAACCGACAGAAAGGTATGAAAGCGATTCACGTGATCCTCCGTGTGTTTGGCCGGAGACTGCAAGGCATGGCTGCTGGGGATGTCAGTGGTCCTATAACCATTCCATCCAAATTGTCCGAATGAGTGCTTGAAATGATATGTAGCAAGAAGTTGATCCTAGGAATCCTATAGGAATCTATTGAGGAATGCTCCGTGTTGATTATCCTGGACAGCAATGTTTCTTCAAGGAGCTTGTGAGATTTTCGTTTCGTTTCAACCTGGTCTTCGATAAAGTGTACTTCCTTTCAATAAGGGATCCCTCAAGGGCATACACTTCCACCCCTATTGGCTACGGCACAATGTCTGTCCCCTCAAGGGGGGCTATGTTTACTCTCTCCTCATTGTGCTTTGTTTTGTTGAGACAGACATGTGATCCTGTGCAAGACATCGGGATCATCAGATCATAGCAGCTGAAATACTGTCGAGCTGAGTAACGCCGATGGCACCTTCTCCCTCTTTGGCGTTGAAACCGATACGCGAGTGTTGTTAAGTAAAATGGCCACCCTCCTTTGTAGCGTCCCTGGCACCTACAAATGGGAAATAATGTGGCTAAAGACGTTAGGACTCACGACGCACCCACCGCATCCAAGAGGAAGCAGCGAATCATGTGGTGCATATTGAAAATCCAGCTAAACTGTATTATTTTTATGTGTGCGTTTTAGGTGAACCAGTGAAGGATTTCAAATGCTCCCAATCGCCTCGGATAGTGGTACCATTGACATGGTTTATGGTTCACTATTGTGACAGAGAAGTGTGTTCAAACACCATGAAGACATGAAACATGAGCTCCTCCGTTGCTTGAGGGTCTGTCGCGCTTGCACGCGTTTGGTCACTTGTGTCGCAAAGCTTGCATTAGTAGCAAGCATAGTAACACATCGGAACTCAAGAGTTTAGTCATATCGTGGAAACGGTTCACCTGTGACTCCCCAGTGAACAAAGGAAATGATTGTACTTTCTTTTAACCTCACATCGCCTGCACTGGAATCTTTCGCTGTTTCACAGTCTATCATGAATTCTGTCTTTCATCTGTTTTACCACCCACTGCTAATCGGCCTGCACCCCTGTATCAATAGGTTCAATTTAGTGAGTGAGTAGATATTTTCTTCTGGTCCACGCTTGAACCCATCGCAGTCCGCCGAACGATTTCCTTGTCATCGCTTTCACATAGAAAACCTTTCGGCAGTCATGAGTGACAGCTCTTCAGAGCCTCACTCAAGCCTGCACATCTTGGTCTAGGAGACAGTTACTATGAACTAAATTAGCAACTGAATATTGGGTCCATGGTTGAAAACCCGGGCATCAATAGCAAGTTTAGTTACAAGCCAAGACTCTTCCACGTCCTCCATTTTGAGCTCCAGGCACCTTCTGTATCTTTTCACTTGCTTGCTGACTATCAGTTAAAGGTAGGTTACATTCCTTACCGCAGCTTAGAGGTGGTTATCACATGTTCATTTAGCCGGCAGACTATCTCTTAGTCAACTTTGTGTGTGTGCGCGCGCACACACATTCCGACCTGAAACACTGGTTGTCTGACTGCATACTTTCCCCATCACATTACTTCGCCTTACTTGATCAGTTCTCTCCATCCATCCATCTATCCTTTCCCTCGCTCCGTATATTTCCTTCTTTTTCGCACCGACAGACTTTTCGAAACTTCAGCCCTGTCAGCAATCAAATTTTGTGTACACACTTGTGCATATGCAACTCAGTCAAGTTGGTACACGGCGGCACATTCCTAGAATTAGCCTCCTTTATTCTTTCAATAACCCCACAAGGTTTTCTTAGACACATAGACATCCATTCATACAACACTTACTGCTGTACACCTTTTTGTATCGTTCAAATATTAGAGGTAAGTAGGTGCGGCCGACCCCGGTGCACTTGATAGTATGGTGTGATGATCCGATCCTACACCAATTCGTGGCTGGTTGGTCGCCAACGCAGGTCTCCGTTTGCGATCACAAACATGCGCAATGGCTGTTGATGCCAGTCTATGGTTTCTAGTATTTGGCCAGTTCGGTGTGTGCACTTCACCTGCCTAGATGTATCTTACTTGACATACTTTCACAACATTCTCTAACTAGTTGAACTGACTTGTTTGACTAAGGTATTTCGATGAAGTAATGAAGTGATACTGACACTGATGGCACTGATATCCTCCTTGTTGTACGATGCATCCAAGTGCGATCTGCAGCAAGTTTATCAATGTGGCATGCGCCTCGCACCTTCAAAGTGAAAAGTGGGACTTCCTCTCTGAATATACTCCTTGCAATTCATGAAGAATCACTGGGGGTTGTGGTCGTATTGGCTTGTATTAGCTCTGATGAATCCAGTGTAAGAATCCCAAAAGCCTGATCACGCATGTTAATTTTCGTCACTTGTGACGTCAAAAAGATATATCATTGGGCGTCAACGGTCGCATGTGCTAGGCCACAGTAAGGACTGTACTGTTTTATGGTTGCGCGACGTGGTCTCTACGGACGGATGATTCGAAGCATCTTCGGGTTTTCCACCACCGATACATCGGAATCGTTTCTGGTTTCTAATGGCGTCAACGGATTCGTAACTAGGTGTGTAGAAAACGAGTATTTGGTTGTACAGCGAGTGCTTAAATCGCAGAAAACATGCAGAACGATCAACTGTGGTGGCTCTACTAGGTGCTGCTCACGTCGAAGCGAGACTACTGTTGTTTTCTGTGCCTCCCTCAGAATAGCGCAAACTGCGAAGTGAACAGGCGGAAGAGTGTGAAGGAGACTACGAAGAGTTTGGGTGTTTTTGGTGCAGTACGCCCTCTAGGATTGGGTCGCAGTGACCCTTGCGTTTGGCTGGAGACGTTGCAAGAAATGGCGGCTAATCGATGTCAGTGGCGTTCTTGCTGTCTGTTTCTTTCCAGATTGTCTCTTTGAGCGTTTGGAGGTTTAGGCACCTCAGAGTGTTTGGCTCAGGCGAGCATTAGGTACCCTCCCTCACCCACTTTTTCTCTTCTTTCTCTCTAAGGTTTTAAATATAAATAAATGAACTCTATGGTTGTATGGCAACGAGGCATCAGTGTCAACACTGATGATGATTTTTTAATTGCCGTGTTATGGTGAAATTTACGCCAGACCTACTTTTATTTCGAATTGTAAAGCACGTCTGCTTTCCAGGACATGCACATTGTGCATACGGGATGCTTGAGAGGTAATCTCCTGTAAATCTATCGTGATCGGAGTCCTATTTTCAGTAATCTCACTCTGGGCCCTTCCCCCGTGGACTTCAATCTGCTCTCGTTCAATTAGCAGTAGCTGCCGCTACCCCTGAGCGTACTAGTGCGATCGCTCTCCCTGTTTCTTATCTACATGCTTGGGACAGGACCATTTTGGTTCCTTCCGAGTCGAACCCACTATAATCACTGATAAGATGCTCGAATTTTTCGATTGAATGCCAAAGGCGGCTCTAATTCAAACGGCCAATCTCAAGGTAACTTTGCAACTAACATCCGGTAGGCTTCTCTAGTTCCAGTTAAAAGTGTGTGCAGTAATGATAGAATATGATATGAATGCCCCGTCTGTGGGTCTTTTGATCAGTCACAAGGCTAGTCTCAGAGAAACAAAGCCTTTTACTCCTGCAAGCCAATAAAAGTCTTCTTACAAGGGTAGTTCCGAAGTGTCTTCGCCCCAATTTATGAAATACACACTGTACAAAACGTGAAACATGACACTTGGAGGCACTTTGCAACAAAGCAAAAACTCTTCAATAGTTGGATGTGTTATCAATTTTCCGTGTCTATCAGAAAGTACCCGGAAGACTTAGGGACGCTACATCAACTACAATCCCACGAGGTTACCATTCTTGTATGGGTGGAGAACCTCACTTTCCCGTGGCCGTTTTTTACCGGCGAACGGTCATCGACCACGCTTATTCGTAAACTATTCGTTCCTGTTGTTTGCGATCTGTGCAATGTGTTATTTAATGGTGAACTGCTGGGCCGGACGACCGAGTTAATAGTAAGCATGCTTCCAGATTTAGACTGGCGTTGTTTTTATTTGTCATTTCTGTGTTCCCTGGGTACATTTGACATGCGGGTTCTTGTCTCCGAACTGATATTGACTGACTTTTTTCCCTCTGTATGTAGTTCTTGCTGTCCCCCTGAGCTTAGGAAATGGTCATATTAGGATATCCGTAACTCAATGAATCAGAAAGTTTGCAATCCTTGATTTGTGTGGGAACGAACAAATTACTCGTATTTCCAACCCTACAGGTACCATGTAACTCAGGGAGAAATATGCCTTCTCCTTGGATGGTAAAAAGCGTTCAGGTAGGAATTAGTGACTCATCAATACTGGACGTATTAATGTAAGTGCCTATCAGCGACTCATATCCATACTGTGATCGATGAGACGGATGAAATCACACACTTTGTGAACAATGGGATAGAAGGAAAGTAAATTCTTAAACCTAAGTACAGAGACTTGAAACTGGTTCCTGCGTGCCTGTTTTAGAAGTTTGACCATTTTTAGGGCAGTCCTGGCGGAAGTAGTGAAGCCAATATTGGGTTGGAGTGAACCGATAACCGAGCCAGTGGTGAGTGACTGACCGGCTTGAACCTTGATTTATCATTCCACTACTTTTCTTTGGTGTCTCCATGCGCATAATTCTAACTCAGGTCATTAGAAGAGTCCACTACGTGCTGTTTCAAGAGCGTGTAACATCTCTACTTAGGACCCCGCTGAGCATCACGGATTCCAGCAGAAAAAAAACCAAACATTCGAGTGGCTTCAGTGGGAAAGTTAATGCTGCTCCATTCTTGTAGTCAGCGGTCTTTCCAGCGTTAAAGAGGTTCTACTTTGTGAATTGGACAGATTAATCACACTGACATCTTTTAAGTACTTGGACGCATACCGATCGATTCTCCCTAGCGCGTTTTAGATTTAGAGGTTTGGTTGTATATACTCAATTTTAGGTTCGATGCTTATGAGAGTTCCGGTCTGGCACAACGGAGGAAATCAAAATCAATTCCAAACTTTGTTTTATGACGTTTGGCAGCAAGTAGCTCAACTTTACGAATCACAAGTCACTCTATACTCTTTCATTCCCTTTGCTTGCAGTTTCAAAGTCACCAAATTTTCCACGTCTTTGTCGTGTTGGCGGCGTTGGTTCATCTGAACGGGATCATGCAAATCGCCGAATATCGTTTGTCAAAAGGCACTTGTGACTAAATCGCCTCGCAGTCGTTATCAGAAGCGGACGCTTTGTTCTTACTGCGTTTTTTGGTATCCTTTTATTTTGCATTCATCCATGGGTCAAAGTACTAGACGCATTCTCATCCATTTTCTTCGCAAAATAACATAGAAAAGCATCACTTCCTGCAGAATCCCACATTTCTGCAGCAAGGAATTTTCGGGAATCTTTCGGGTCCATCGTTTTGTCAGGCCAATTTTTGCCATTTGTTTATATCGATTGAATGATCTTGACTGCATCCATCCTTCTATTTAAGATTCAATCCCAAGCGCACCGTCTCTACTGGCACTTGCTTTCTGTGATCCGGTCATTCTTGTCCCCCATCTAGTGGCATCCGAAGATGAGGACTTGTGTCTTCTTCTTGGAAGCATTCTTTCATTCGACTCTTCATCTTCCCGAGCCACCTTGTATATGTATGTGAAAGTTAGTTACATACGCTTCAATGTTTCATGGACCGTGCTTTCCCAAGTCTTTATTTTATCTGTATTCTAAAATGTGGTCATAGTGGATAGAGAATTATCGATTTTTGCTGCGAATAGATCACATCATTCTGCAGTCAAGACTGGCTTGTTGAACTCACAGCCGATTCAGCTTTACTGAGTTGGATAGATGCTTGCAAGTTGGCAGAACACGGTGCGCTGGAAATTACTGGTTCAAGACCATACAAAGGAAGCGAAGGGCAAAGATATTAATGATAATAATGGCAGTTCATAGTCAATAGTGGTATAGTATAACGACGCTCTGGAAACCTAACCCGGGTTCTACCGCGTTGTTCGGTTCAGTATCCCCGTACCTAGATAAGCGCTGATTTAAGGATAACCAGATGACTTTGATCTCAATTTTTTTTAGAAAGTCCGTCCAGTCTGTGACGGCAAACAATGTACGAGCGTTTCACCCTCCTTAGGAATATACTTATCAGTACTCACCGCGCACATGGCTGGTAGTCGAGGCATAGATTGTGAACCTACTGGTGATGTACCCCACAATCACTGTCTCAAGTGCCACTAGTCCGTTGCAAGATGCTGATGTTGACGGATTTCCTTGAGAATTCCCAGGTTATCGCCTAGACAGTCTGCGTGATGGACAGGGTTTGAGTTTTCATTGTTGGATCTCCGATCTGAAAACTAGTGTGGAGCGTAACCCAAGAAGTTTCGTTCAGAGAACCGCTCATTATCATATATCGCTCTGTAGAGTTTATAATCAGCGTCTCATAAATCATATGATGGTAGAGTTTTTGGTACTGTCAAATGTTTTTTTGTTATAGGAACTCTTTATAAACGTAAATCCACCCCTCAGTCGGAGTCACGGATTTTTTTCGTTGCATTTACCTCCCGGGGAAATAGACCTCTCGCGATCGAAGAAGGGCCACCTTGATCCAAAATGGATGGTTTACTCCCCAACAGGGGACTTCCCCATTCCATGACTGACACCCCAAGAGGCTGGCACACTTACATTCACAGGTCATCCTTTTTTGACAAGACTTCTTTAGACGTGCGTGCGCAACTTCTCAAAACCGACTTATGGTAATACGACTAAAGGATAATTCGAAGAAACATACAATCGCCGAACTTTTCTGGAGGTCCTGATGGTCAGCATTGCCTTGCCTGCCACAAAAAAGTACGCCCTTATAACGAACCTTTGATGTTTAGTTATCCTTATTTAAGCTGAGCTAGATGACAAAGATAGACATAGCTAAATATTAAACTGGTTAATTATGTTGCGCCATAGTGTAAATGACAGATGTTGGAATACTGGACACCTGTTATGTTCATTTCAGACAAAATGAAAGTCTATTCCAACCTAACGGAGATTGATTCATAACCACATTACACAAAGCGTGCGATTGGATCAACCTTTCACGGCCAGGAAAATGTTTCCTCAGAGGGAATGGGGTAGGGTCGACGTAAAAATGTGAGGGCTATATATTCTTCAAACAAGGTTGAGAGAAACTTCGATAAATGGCTACCGTTTTCACTCTTCTCTAGACTCATCGCGTGGTTGTGGCTTCCATAATTCCTTATTTCCCAATTGAGCACTCGTTTGAGTAAATTAACGGCAGATCCAACTGAATATCATCCAAATCCATCGTTTACAGTAACCTTCAGTTTAACGTGCTACAGAAACGCCGCTTCATGTTCCAGTTAGAATGGCATCCAAGATATCGAAGCGCTGTAGTCCGCTCCTACAAAGAACATTCACTAAGAATGGTCCAAATTACCTGCAGTATAACGGACAGCACCTCATAAGAACGATCCTCGTCATCCACTGACACGGGCGTCGTGGAAATTGTTAGTATTATTCCGTCGCCGCCACTTTGAACGTCAACTGTTATCGCATCAGTGACTCTCGTTCTGATCCAAACTTGTTCGCCAGCTCATTATATATATCATCACCCCGCTGTGAGCGTTCTATTTAGCGGGAAACAACTTTATTTCTGACTGCCAAAGACTGCTTTAGGGGCAAGTAATTACACTGTGATGGGTGATGATACCGCTGCCTGTGGTGTAACGTCGTCAAGCGATATGCTGTTCCTTTTGATACCTGATGTTTTCTTTGAGGGAATTAAGAATTTGCAGAACTCACAAACGACCAGCAACGCCTAGTCTCGTCTGAAAGATGTCTCTCTGGGGAGTGAAAATTGTAGTGTTTGTGAACCTCCTACAAAAATCCTGTTTTGGAACCCTCAGTGCTACTATTCCAGCATCTTGATGTAAAAATACACAAATTGTAGTGCAAGGATTCCACATCGTCGTGCTTGCTGGGATAGTGTTTTACTTCACGAAGGAATTCAGCACTTTACTTTAGGAGGTGGTCGCATGAATCCGAAATGAATTGGACTACTTTTGGTTGCGGTTAGTTTCTCCTGATTAGGCTGTTTTATGCTAGGATTACCTGTAACTAGCTGTCAGTTTTGTGAATCAAGATACTGATTTGAGTTTTCGTGTACACATCTTCAGTCGAAGCGTTATATGCATTGTCGCACACGCTGCTGCATGCATGCTTCTTCGCCTTCTGCAATGGACTTTTGCATTGTAATCCTCAGCTTAGTGCAAACAAACCTCAATAGTTTGTTTTTGACCGTGCAGCCACGTAAACACTTATTTGCAGCAACCTGTTTTATTCTATACGGCTGTCCTATCCGTATCCGGTTTGCTCGAGGTTTCCTTGACGGGAGCTTTATGCAGGTTTCGCTCCAGTGGGCCCTCGAGAGAGGCCAATTCCTGTTTAGCCCGCTTCAACCCGGTCCCGTGAGATTGGTTTGGAATCAATAACCTTTGAGACTTTTCTGGAAAACTTGTCTCGGATCAGGAAAAATGCTGTGGGGCCTTGGGTATTTTGGCGACATTTGTGTATATTCATCTGATGGTTAGTACAAACGGGATATTCAGTTCAGTTTCTCGTTAACACTAAGTAAAATGACAAGTGAGTGTATAAATCCAGTTATCCTTTTCAGCACAAGCTGAATCAGTCTGCTGGAATGATCAGCAGTGCCTTAAACTTGGTGCAGCTTGATACGATCGTTTCAATGAATTCTCTAGGTGGATCGGTAAATACACACTGAGGAACTTGAATCGTATGTGGTGCATTGAGCAAGGCACCCGGGTGAGTTGTTTGCTTGCTTCTGACGTTATGGTTAGGCTTTTTACACCAATGCTCAGATTTTCTTTAAGTTGGGTATATCAGTATCTCGAGGCTCTAGCTTTGGACCCTTCAACTTTATGCCATCTCTTCGCCCTACCAAGTCATCGATTTGCACGGTGTACAGCTTTTGGAGATGTTCATCCATTCACGAACCTGGGAAGTCTGTTTAGGTTCCGATTTGCGCGTCCACCTAGCTGGACATTGGGGTTTGTGGTTTATGTAAAGCTAACTTGTTCCTGCAATGTCACCTTCCAAGCTCTCTGAATGGCGTGCATCACTATCACCAGGCATGCTCGGAACTAGTGCGCCTCGTCTATCTACGGTTCAATCGACGGGTGGCATCAGGCCATGTGGAGGACCATCACATGGGTAATTGGTGGAGCCGAACGTATAAACTTTCGTCAATAGAAACACTAATGTTTTATTTAGCTTTGGTGTACATTTGCACAGCTGGGTAGGCTGTGCAGCGCTGCGGTTAATTTACGCTGATGTGGCTGTTTAGTCAGTCCAGTTCAGTCTATCACTACTGAACCGTGTACCAAAGTATATCAGTTCCGGTCACCGGAAAATTGGGGATTCAAATAGATTGGGTATTGAGGACCATGATACAATCAGTTGAAGTCTGTCGTACAAACAAGAAATTAGGCAGCTACGCATTATAAGATTTGACGCGTGATTGAGATATGTTTTACACTGAGACGAGAGTGTTCCGTATTCGCCTGTGACCTGTAAATACCAAAACCCAGTCTTTCCTTATATCTCAGTTTCGTCTTCAGACATTTTGCAGTAGCGTCAGCAACCGGTTCTCCGGTTATCACACCTAAGATATCCAAAGAAATAAGACACAGAAAGCCATTTTAGAATACACTGATGAATTGTTGTGCAACGACTAGTTCGGGAAACCCACATGATAACCCTGAGAGATGCTAGCGTCAAATTGTAACTCTTGAGACAGAATAAGATCCTATCGCCTTGTCAAACTGACCGAGCGGTAGCTCAGAATCCACAGAACCAGAGCTCATTTCTCAACTCATAGGATCGAAGCACATGTTTATTCTCCGATATTTCATCATAAGTCAATTCTTCATCACCGAGCCAGTAAAACATAACGTTGCACGTAACAAGTCCAGACTAAATGCTGCCACTAAGACTTGGCGATCCGGCTTGAGTACTTCAATCATCCTGCGGGCTATAGTGACTGGAACTGCGTTCCACAAGGTTCGGCTATGCGGTGAAGTTGGAAGGTGAGCAGTCGGATGTATGGTTAGGTAACTGACTCACGGTAAACTGCGTCAGACTACTGAGTCAAAGACTCCGCGAAAGCCCGCCCGAGCAAATTCCAACACCATCTTCCAGGTCAGAATATTAGATCGAAAACCCAAGGTATGATGCTCAAAACGAACCATATTACTCGGCCTAGGCATCCAAATGATGGAGATAATAATAACGGACTGATTGATCAATATGACAATGAGGAGGACAAAGATGCAGATGAGGATGGAGGTGAGAATGAGGGTGAGGAGGGGATGGGCATGTGGATGACGATTATCATGATCACGATCATTAGGACGATACTGGAGATGAACGTTAAGATGAAAATGAGGGTTCGGCTGAGGAGAAGTATAAAGTTGAAAGTATGAAAGATGTCATAGATGAGGTTGAAAAGAGAAGTTATCATTAGTGTGGGGACATAGAGCGGGATGAGATTGAGAATGGGAATGCGGATGGGGAAGATGCTGATGGAAACGACTATGCTGATGAGGATGATAATATCGATGATGATGGGGATTCAGACAATCACAAGTCTAAGGATGAGGATGATGGTGTGGGTAGTGTTTTGGATGCAGATGATGATGAGTGTGATTGTGAGGACGGAATGTGCATGGGGTGCGGATTGGGAGCAGAATGAGGAAGATGATGATCCTGACTATGATGATACTATGAGACAACCATAGTGATAAGGAAGTTGACGATGGTAGTCATGTAGAGGAAGCAGACGGTGACGAGGAGTATGAGGACGAAAATGTGAGCAGTGACGAGAATGGGAGCAAGAATGAAGCTGTAATGAGGAGTAGAATGATGATGGTGGAGCTGAGCATGTTAATCGAGATGATGAGAAGAAAGAGGATAATCAGGCAGAGGAAAGGGATAAGAACGGGGGTGAAATTCTAGGTGAGAATAAAGAGTTCAGAGGAACGGATGACAGTTAGAATGTGGACGCGGATGAAGATTGGGACAAGAAAGGTGATGGGGCTCTGTTAACATGAGAATAAGGATGGTATTAGGTAGGAGGACCATGATTAGGATCAGGAGGTAGATGATGTTTATGGCGAGAATGGTGACGAAGTGCTCGGATTGTGAAAGTTTACTGGTTGTTCAACAAAACGATGTCTTTTCTTGCGGTGATAAAATCAGCAAAGTTACTATTTTTGGTGGTTCTGTTTACCGAGACTAACTACTGACTTGCGAACGTTTGGCCGCCAGTCAAGTGAACATCGCCAGTGTGTGTTTTAGTGATACCACACTCTCCAGAAAAGCGACCAACAATTGTAGGCGCTTCGGTGTGAGCTATGTTCAGCTTCACAATGGGATAAACAGCAGGCTGAAGTTGGTGGAAGTCCAAGAGGTTTCCACCAAAAAGGAGCACGAAGACAGGCGCCACGCCCTGTTTTAGAGCCGTTACATCGATTTCCCAAGTAGCTCTATCAAATTAAGGTGCTCGCTTCGTAGAAATTTTCCCAACGCCACCATTAGCTTGGATTTTCTATCAATACCGGCTCAATCTCATGTGCTAAGGCATTACAGGGCGTAGTCTCAAATGGCCGATGAGCTGATCATATGGACACAACTTATAAAATCTCCGCAGAATGTGGCAATTGACTTGCCACGGTATGAGAAGCCTAACTAGCAAACGACAAATCGAAACTTGATAAAGCCGCTAGATGTTTTTGCGTACAGTCTGATGTAGTGATAGTCTAATTAAGGAGTCATAAGTTGGTTATTTTCGGGTATCTGACACGGTATCACTTCAGTTGCTTTGAAGATCGGTTCGCTTTGATATAGCCGCCGTGTACTGGTCAGGAGTGTATCGTACGTGATCATCAGAGTATCGCCTACTTGCCATATTTTTATCGGAAACGGATTCTGTTAAGTTAGCCGCTACAGGTGCCCGAGTTTAATGGTGACAAAGGTACCTAGCGGATCCATAATTAGGATTTATATCTTGCAGTACAATCAGTTTCAACCGATAAATGCTGAAATTATGGATCTAGTTGGTGCCCTTCTAAGGTATTCATAGTCCTTACCAGTTGATTCAAAATGTGTTCAGGTACAGATGAAGGGGTTCGCAACGTTTTCCTTTCTCCCAGGACCCATTTGATACGAAGTTCGCTAAGATAGATCCTAGGAATTCGGACCATAATACAATATAAATCAAGAACGGCCCAATCAAGCCGAATGGGATGCGCTGGTGAAAAGTGACAACTGCCACAAGAACCAATCAGACAAAGAGAAGACAAACCGTGACGCAACAGAAAGCGAAAACCAATCATTTAGACCATCATCGAAGGGTTTTTGGACACACCCTACTCAAGACACCAGTCGAATTCAGTGAATAGAGATCACAACGCGACAAGACTAGAAACGGACAAATGGGATTCCGGCAGTGATATCTTCCCGTCAGCCAATCACAGGTGATCTTCGACAACTATATAAGCTTAAGCAGGTAAGGACCAATCAGCCACTCTAACGCGCACTTATGATATACCTCGATTGGAGACGAAACATCTGCAGGTTAATCGCTAAGCTCGGTGAACTAATCAACGGCCACCTGCTCATCCACTAAGCTCTAAGTTCACGTAATGAAAACCATGAAAGCCGTATCTGTCGGCATTCAGATGGTGGACCTGGGACATAAGTGTGCTTACCTCATCCTCGTTACAACCACTGTCCTCCAAAGCAGCTACCCTTAAGCGCTTCATTACGTCCTTTTAACCTGTACTTCGCAGTACATTTCTACTACCGGGATAGCAATCAGTTTCTCATGCTTACCTTCAGAAGTTATCGATAAACTTTGTTGCTCCTCGAGGATCCACAAAACCAAAGGTAAGGCAGGCTTTCTCCAGTCTTACAACACTATCAGCGAGTGATGGATCAGGTTTGATAGGCCGCCCTCCAACCAGTCAGTAGAGCATTTCACCGTGAATGAATTCAAAATTTTTGATTACTCAGGACTCTGTCAGCACCTCTCAGTTGTTTCAGTCCATATTGTAGCCTAAAACAGTCGACAACTCTGAAATAGCAAAGAACTAATTCCCAAAAGTCGCAAAGCCAATCAGATAATGGGCCAGTCAATGGCGAGTGTGTTTGAACATCCACTGAAACATGTACATAGCGGTGAACAACACTGTTTGTGATCTAATAAGACAATTCCCTTTGAACTATTAAAGCGAGATTTCTCTGGAGTGAAACTATTCTCTCTTGGTCGATTACCGACAACCCACTAGTTTTCTGACGAAGCATGGTCTAAAATAGCTTGTATATTTTATAAAGTAAGTGGCACTGTGTTAAACTGAACTTCATATTTGCTCATGCGTTTGCCATGTGGCACAAGGCCCCCCACAGCGTTCAAATGCAGTGCTACTGAGAAATAACTCATTGCTGCGAAAGACACTGACGTTTATAAGTACGTAGTTAGTCTAAACTGAGCAAACTACCAAGAACTAGCAAGAACTAAAGCAGCTTACATGTGCAGTTAATTCGGTGGTCACTATAATTTTGTGTCCAGTGTTTGTGATAAACAGTGGGGGGTGGTTAGTTTTCTATAGAAAGTGCTTTTCTGTGAACCAGTGCTAAGGTTAGATGGCTTTTAATTAGATGCGACAAACAGACTGTGGCTAGCTTTTCAACCTGAGCGGATGGAGCAGACTGTTCTCCCGATTTGGGCTGACTATCCCTCTTTATTTACAGTTGCCATGCTGATGACGTTGGTAAAATGAGGGAGGGTGAATTCTAAAGGGCCGACGGGAAGCGGTAGATATAATGGTTAAGTGGTTGTTATGCCTGACTCTCGCGCTGGCAGCTCGGATTTATGAAAAAACTCACCATAGGAACAAGAGCGTGCTTAAGATGAGAGATTTCACCAAGGCCAAACTTGGGCTTAGCCTCCATGTTGTACGCAACGAACAAAGTGACCCGGCTTAATCCGACACGTGACGGTCAGTGTCAAATTAAGATACCTTCTACATTTCAACCACTCTCGTTCTAACAGTCCTTCTCCCGTCCTGGTGTAATTATTCGGATTCGTTCACACAATGGCGTGAAAGCACTAAAATTATAACCTTATTGGAGCTCATCGGCAGTACATATCCCCGGTCGTGCCGGGATTTTAACCCCGGACACTAGACAAGCGAGGCGAGCGTACTGCCACATCTCGGCAAGCACACGCGCCTGAGTTATCAAGTCTGACCGGACTGAAAAATTGCACTGCTCAAGTGTGAACACGTCCGGTTGTTCATATGGGATAATCCAGCTTACACCGGTGGAGTAGCGGTACCATGCTTACCTCGCTTATCCCCATTTCAAAACTTCACTTGACGAAGGATACGCACTGCTGATAAAGCCGGTGATCACGTTTCTTTCGGCATCCTCTTCATTCTAACTGAGTGAAAGCTTATTGGCCGGCTCATTCAACAAGGACGCCGGGCTCACCGTCGGTTTATAAGTGACCCGCCACAAAACAGCAATGATTTAGTTTGTAACAGCAAGTGAGAAGCAGTTTTATGAATAACTAGTTTTGAAGTTTGATTTTGGCATAGCTTTTATT